ACCACTTATATTTTGTATTTCGACAAAAATGAAGCTTTTAGCGGCTCTGACCAGTAGTAAGCACAGGACCTAAGACGTCACATATCGCGCGCTTACGGCACCGCGGATCGCCCCCGTAGGTGGAGGAGGTTTCCGCGTCGTCCGGTTAAAGGGGCTAGAGAAATTCCAGCGCTCATTTTCTAGCTTGATTGTGTTGCATGTTGCCACCCTAAGCTCAAAAACACCAGTCTTTCGTCGAAAGGCACAAGAAAACTAAAAAACTAAATAAACGATATTTTAATGTGCACCTGGTGGATGCATGCGGAGCCTATTTGGGGAGGTAATTTAGCAACGTTAAGGAACTTGCTACGTAGTCGTCACGTAGCAGATTCCTTCGGAGCAGCGCCGCCCTTTGGAATTTTAACATTTGCCTTCTTAGCTTTCCTCCTAATCGCGCATTGTACCAAACGGTCCAAGAAGACGAAAAGGAGGGACTCCCCTCTTTCTCGGAAACCTCGTTCGTGCAACCGAAAAACAGCCATTGTCCCCTAGAAGATTAGCCCGTCGCTCAAAACTCGAACAAAAGTTGCTTTCCCCACCCCGTTTAGCGGACAGTGTTGTGGAAGCTACGTGCTCCTACGGTGCCTTCATGTGCGCTTCGCATAGAGTGATGCCAACTGCCTGTTTCCCTTTCCCCCGCCGCCATTTTGTTCCTGATTGTTTCCCGTGCGTTTCCGGGGCGCCGGAAAGTGGCCTTTGTGTCCATCGGTCCCCCCATCCGAGGGGGGAAATGCTAATCCTCCGTCCGTGGATTCCACAACGCTGCTCCGAACTTGTGAGATAAGGTGTTTTTTTCCGGGAGGGTTTTAAGCCCCACGAATTATCGCCGAGACCAAAATGGCTGTCGGTTTGTCGGCGAGTGGTATTACAAAGGGTGGCACCACCCTAGCAAAGCGCACATGAAGGCTCCCTACGTGCTTCTTGGGCCAGCCACACGCTCGTCACTCCACGCCGTACTTCGAACGGCTCGGTTGTAACGCGCTGGCGTTATTGAAACCACCACAACGCTGACAACGCCACAAAGGGCTAAGCTCATAACCACGCCATCCTTGCGTCACGAATTCGGGGAATCTTTTCTTTCTGTTTTTGTTTGCGCCGGATATCCCATGACGCATCGCGCTCTCCGTTCGCTTCTCTTGGAGCGCTTGCTCGAGTGCACCGTTGGGAACGAAAAACATAGCCAAGTTGTTCAAAATACAAACGTGCGATTATCATTTACGGTTATTATCCGTCATGTTTGACTCATTTCCGAACGGAATTTGAATATTTATATTCTTGTTTCCGAACCCCTTTAAAATATGACGCACTGATATTTAGTTGCTCCCTCCGTGCCCGCTGGTTTGCCCCGAACCCCGGGGGACGTGGAAACCGCAAAAAAAGGGTAGACGCTTAAATATGATTGCAGGGCCCCTTTAAGCGCAGTTCACACATTTGCAACCAAGTAAGACGGAGAAAGACAAGACCGGTTTTTAATCCTCTTACGACGTCTTAGGACCAGCTCCGCAGCAGCGCGCCTGGTCCTAAGATGTCGCAAGAGGCTTAAAAACCGACCTTGCTTCTCTCGGTCGTACTCGGTTGAAAGTGTGTGAGCGGGCCTTTAAGGCCCGTTCACACTCTTGCAACCGAGTACGACAGAGAGAGACGAGACGAGACTTGTTAAAACCTCTTAAAATTTCTTAGGACGAGAGAACACATTGGCACGCTGGCGCCATCTATGCGGTGACCCTGAAGCTGCATTTCACGAGAGCGAAGGTTTTGCGGGATTTCCGAGGTCAAATGTGCGTAATACCTATAAGAAAGGCTCATTTATAACCTTGACAATAGTTTTTCGAGCCAAGAAAGATAGGATAATGCGCGGGAAAAATAGAAAATATGCCGGGCCTCCAAGTTTACACTGCTGCTCAATAGATGGCGACAGTGCATCCTCTCGTTGTGAGAGGTTTTAAGGAACCCAGTTTTAAGAGGTCGCAAGAGTGTAAACAGGCCTTAAGCCTCCAGAGCAAAGACCGCGGTGTGAAAATCGCGCTCCCCAGCTTCTTTCTGGAAGAACGGCCTCAGAATGAAGCTGCTTGCTTACACCTTCCAGACGTTGAAGTCTGAGATAAAGCTTTTATATAACTAGTATTTCACAAAATTATAATTACAGCTTTCGCTGGGAGGGTGGGAGAGGGGAGGAGAGAGAGAGACGCTGCCGTTGCCTCACCTCTGAGTAAGAAAACTCAGCTAGGGTAACAGCAAAGAGGGAAAGTACGCAGGCGAGCTGGATAGGAAACATCGTATTCTGGACCCTGAAACAAGCAGAAGGAAAAAAAAAAACTAACGATCGCAAACTGTAATTTAGTGCCAATTCAAACGCCGCTAACCCGACACCAAATGATGATTTGATTTTGCTCTCTGGGAATAAGCCAAGGAAACTACATTTAAAACGATAACACTCAAATATAGCTTTCGAAAGGGTTGTAATATTTTTCCCCGGGAGCTAAATGTTTCTTTGTTAATTTTTTAATTGTGGTTTATGAGATCTCCGTTGTTTCAGGAAGTAAATTTAATAGTCTTAGTGCCCTGAAGTTCTGAGAACATGTGGATTAATCTGCGAGTCCGGATTTCGAGAGTGCATTAAGATTTGTGGCTTAGTTATTAGTGAAAACAATAAAACCTATTTGGCCCGTTCACTTAAGGTCGGTTGCTGGTGCAAAAGCGGACAGACGGCGCAAGTTCACAGCTTCCTGCATGTCCCACAATCTTAGGGTTGCAACCACTAAGCTTAAGTCAAGCCCATAACGCAGTTCCTTTCTAGTAATTTAAGCTCCTCTTCTCATGCCATTGGTTCATTCCTTACTTCTGGATATTCGTATGTTTGATCAAGCTGGCCACATAAACAACAAACGCCATCGATCACAAGATTTTATTTCTTATTGGTTGTTCAAGTAAAAAAGATATAAGCAGGTTTTGACGACGACTGCTTGCGTGTTGCTATGAAGACTCCTTGAAAAGGTTGTTGAACTTTAGGAAAAAAAAGTTTAAACAAAAATAACTCCTGGCGTTATTTTAAGACTTTTTGTGTGTGTCACTTGTGCGCCGGACGTGACGCACACTACTCAATGAGTATATAAGTAGAATTGATCAAGAACATTTTTGTGCTAGTTCGGCATCGTTGATGCAGCTAAACGGGCAAGATCTTCCTGGTTGCACCTACCCGACACAGCTTAACTGGGTTTGCGCACTTTATTTGTTAGTTTACATTTACCACAGGTTTTTCTATGATATCTGTCCTCAAGTGCCAGCAGTGCCAAAGGGACTTTCTTATAGGAGTATTTTGCCATTGTTTACTATAATCTCTATGATCACTCTCAGAGTCGCCAAGCTCCTAAACACACCAGACGATCTTTTTCCCATTTTTGCTTTAAGTTTACTTGTACGCTCGCCATGTTGGGTTTGTGGCACTGCAGGGAAAATTGAATTGTATCCTAAAATTACAAGTCTAGGGATATCATAAAAGCAGATGGCGAGCTTTGTAAGAAAAAGACGTTGTCTTCTATTTAAGAAGTGCTTCCAATTGAATACAACATAATTAAAAAACGAAGTAGGAGGTAAAAACAAAGTTTAACACTTGGAACTGCTTTAAAGAGGGCCGCTTTTTCTCGTGCGCAGCCCGAATTAAATCTTCACTCATCTATACACCAACACACTGTTTACAAACATGCCCGCGTTTCCCAACACCTGGTGGGCACTGCACGTACGCATAAATCGGATTACCACCAGGTGAAGTGTCTGCGCATGCGCAGTGTCGACAGCAGCGCCACCGCAGTGATGTGAGGTCAGAGTCGAGTTGGTGTATAAATATTTTATTCTTCACCCTGCTCTAAAAGTAAAAAGAATGCGGTACACCTCAACATTTCCTGAATGCCTTTGTGCAGTTATTGAAACGCATCTCGATTTTGCATGGAGCTCTTCGAGAATACGTCCATATATATGGTGGACTTGGTTATTCTAATATCTCAGCTTAAAATAAGCTGAAGCGAGAGTGCAAGTGAGCTGGTTCAATGCTGACCTGTAGCACAGGAGCGGGGCAAGTGTTTTTCCTATTCCCAGGTCAGCTTGTCATTAAAATAAGGTGTGTTATATAGTTATATATGTGCTATTACCAATTATATATGTGTTAGATTATATAACACAATTGTATAACACATTATATATGTGTTATATATGTGCTATTATCAATTGTAAGAATGCGCTTTAAGAGTTTAGTTGCGTTAAGGGAATTCGCGTGTTTGTACTTTTACCTCCTGCTGTCGAAATGAAAATGAAACCTTTATTTTTGTTCCTTTTTGAGCTAATCTTTCATTAAGTAATACATACGTCAGTCATTTCTAAATTTAAAGTTACCCCACTAATAATATTTCATAAAAAAACTGAACGCCTTTGTTTAATATATGCGGCTAGATATTGCAAGAAAGGTGTAGCGTCTAAGTGGCAAGTTTCGACGTAATAACCCTGGGCTAGTTTCGGCAGGAAAAGCATGGACCAGTTCTGACATAAAAACCAAAAACGAGCTGGACGTTGGTACACCTACTCTTTTTACAATATATTGAGAGAAGTGGAAGTAATGTAAAAAATTCATCTTGGGGGTTTTCACAATTATCGCCTTGGTCAACAGCAATATAATTTTTACTTTCACAAAATAAATCCGTAGCAGAATTCTTACCCATAAAGGGAAATATGTATGCCCGTTATTCTTTTACGTCAAAGCTTTGAAAACGTAGGTTTACCGCGTCATTACACAATTTCTAAAAAAACATGTAATTTGTTTTTCTCGCTGCTTAGAAAATTGACGGCACAATAAAAAGAATTGCAATGTATTTTATTCCTTCATTAATAATTTCAATGCCTACCTTTTGTGGTATGGGTCGGGAGGTACAATGAATTTTTTATGTTGATTTCAGGTTACTATAGGAACCACAATGAGAGGAATACTGGCAGCATTCACTTTATTGTGTGTTTTAGCACAACAAACATTTGGTACGAAACAGACTGAAGTTGCCACCTTAAATCAAGATGGCTCGCTCCTAACAGACGATGGTATGATCTTTGATTGTGATCTATCTAAAATGACTGAGATCGATTGAGTCGGGAATCGCGGTTTAGTTGATTTATTTCAGTACAAGATAAAAATGCGCCAAGTCCGCTGCTTTCAACAAGTGCCTTAAACACATTGTAATCGAAGATGTGTTGAATACTGAGTAGATTCGGTAAGGTAAATTTTGTGCTATTCTTTTTTTCTGTAGTTTAAAAGCTCCTTTTTATGTTCTTCTGTAGCTGTGAACCTCCTATATTGCACAGTGTCTCTCGAAACACTTATCTACTCCAGTTACCAAACCGGGTATCCAAATAGTTTTCCCGACTTTTATAAAGAATGATTCTCATCACCTTCTCGCATGCAGGAATGCATCATGTCATATTATCTCGGCCGTAGTGCACTAGCCCGCTCTGCGTGCGCTGAGCCAATATTCCCATATTTCCTATTTACGAATGAACGCTTTAAATTCTAGCGGATTTCACTCGAAAAATATGTCAATTTTATATTTTCTCCCAAACGAGCCACATCAGAATGAAGTATGGTGACACTAACACGAAAACGGCCCCCGCGAGTAGAGCGAGGGCTACAGCGGATCACCTTACCTGGTCATGCTAAAGGGCACCCGACAGCAGCGGGCTTTTTCTTGGTTATCTACGAGATTTCCTTGATATACTTAGAAGCGCATATCATAAACCATCGTTCTTCCTTTTTGGCGACTTCAACTACCCAGATATTAACTGGACCGCAGTCGCAGGAAAAACTGCCCCAAATAAATCTAAAAGGTTCCTTGATTTAACACTGGACTTCACCCCCACTCAAGTCATTGACCAACCAACTAGACTTGGCAAAACACCCATGTTTTTAACCCCACTTGAGCATGTTCAAAACGTCATTCATTTGCTATGATTAAGTGTTCACCAAATCTTAAACATGACACTCACTTTCCATCAGCAGAAATATGCCCACGCTAAAATTTATCGAATATTTAAAAAACAAGACTGCATCTATTAACGCTGAACTTTACGCCTATTACATCAGTGAACACTTTACTTCCAGAACTGTTCAAGAGACCTGGAACCTATTTTGACATAAGCTGACCGATCTCATTGATGACTTTATTCCAACCATCTGCATTAAATCCGATAGGAATAATCTCTGGTTTAATACGAGTCTCAAAGCTCTAAGTAACAAAAAAGAAACGCCTCTATAGGAGAGCAAAACTTATTGGCCTCCTTCAAGATTGTGAAGCACACAAATAACTCTCAAGAAAATATTCCAAAAACATTAAACATGCTAAAACAAAATTTCTATCTGACGACATGCCATCAATTCTTCACACGAATCCAACTCGATTTTGGTAGCTTCTATCACTAAGCATTTATTTTCGATCACCGGAATTAACCAACAGCGACGAAGATCCCATCAATGATAGCGACTGCGCAACACCCCTAAACAACTTTTTTGTATCCGTATTCCCAGTTGAAAACCTTGACAGGATTAGCTCTCCTCTGTTATTGCCAACCAACGTCATGCGAATTGTTACAATATCACCCGCTTGAATAAGTTCTCTTATCAGCACACTAAAGCTATCATCATCTGCTGGGGCGGATACTATTAACTTCAAAATTCTTAAGAACACTTATATAACTGCCAGTTCATACTTCAGCTTAATTTTTTCCCAATCTCTAAACACTGGCCGTATAGTCCAAAAGATTGGAAAATTGGGAACATAATCCCCGCCTATAAATGGGGTAGCCGATTACTCGCATCTAATTACCGTCCACTTTCTTTGACTCACGTTCCATCAAAACTTTTTGGAACATATGCTGAACCTCCAGCATAATCAATCACCTTAACTCCATTATTTTTTTACCCTCATCAACATGGCTTTCTAAAAAATCTTTCTTGTGAAACCCAGCTCACCCAATTTACTCATGACTTGCATGTTAACATGAAAAAACACCTATCAAACAGATGCCCAATTCCTAAATGTTTCAAGGGCCTTCGATCGAGTGCCACATAATCGTCTTCTCACTAAGCTTTCAGTGCCTCGACTTGACACAGCCATCAATCCTGGAGTCATGATTTTCACACTTCCCGAGTACAGTTCACAATAGCTAATCAAAATAACTCATCCGTTGCAAACGTAACTTCAGGTGTTCCCCAGGGCGCAGGACGTTCCCCACTTTTATTTCTTATATACATTAACGAGCTTCTGCATGACATCAATTAAAAAATTACTGTTCGCCGACGACAGAGTCATTTACCATCCGGCCTCAAATCTCTTCGGTTATCTTACACTACAAAATGACTTGACACAAATTGTGGCGTCGAAGTCGCGCACCCGCACGCCGGCCGCGTGACATAACACCTAGCAACCGAGGTGCAGTTGGAAAGCGCCATGCCAAGGGCGTACTTGGGCCGCTGGCGGGGCGCCGCAAGGCGGATTGCGCAGGTGACCTGAGGTGGGTTAATATTTCATAATGGGCGTACGCAGACTTTCGCCGTGAACGAAGGGGCCGGGATGGGTCGACACGCACCCCGGTGATACACACCCGTTGTCCCCCATTGCGCGGCGCCGAAATTGGCGAAGGGGGACGTCGCTGCCGATCTTCGGTTGGTAGGTGTTACGTGGGGCTGTGGCGCCATCCCATGGCTATGTTGCCAACTTTGATTACGTATGCTCCAACCAGCCCCAGGTCAGAGCATGTAAAAGAGCACAAATGCGAAAGCATTGAAAAAAAAAGGCCCATAATGCACGCGTAGAATATTAATATTCCACTACTTCTCTTGATCTATGACCCGACGCTTGACTGAATGTTACCGAGCTAGAAAATGCTTATAAAGTGCTGATTCATAGTTTGTATTTATAGGCAAATAATTTTGTCTACAGTACGTAAACTAACACTTTTAAAGCACTTTAGACGGCCCGCGAAACTCGGTTTCTCGACGTATCGTGCTGCAATTTACTACAGAGGTGCAAGCAAATAAAAAAAGTTTCAGTAAAAAAAAAAAGAAAAAAACTTGCCTCGTTAAAAACAAGTTTAAAAAACCTGTTCTAGGCAACCTACGCCACCCCTTCTCGAACGATGTACGCACAGGGATAAAGGGGCTTTATACTCCAACGTCAACGAACGTAACGCGCGCCGGCGCAGACCGACGTTCGTCGGCCACTCTACGCCGCGCCGAAGAGCGCCTGAACGATGGTGTTTACAGTCCAGCGTAAACCAACGCTGGTTCAGCGCGCCCCAACGAACTGTCCCACTATGCGCATGCGCGTCTCCGTGGCAACCGTATCGTCTCTACAGGTTATCTATGGGCGGTAGCTTGCACCACCTAGCCTAGAGGCAACGGTCAGTGTGGTTCGTCCTCGTGTTGTCATGCCACGCTTCAAAACAGCCATACGGGTTAGCGGTCATCAGTTCAAAAACAAGAAAATGATGGTGATAACGAGTGCAAACCAGCATTTATTTTCTCCTAATGTCACACAAAGTTCAACAAAAAAAAAAGAGGAAAAAAAAACACGTTATCGCGTCTGTCGAACTTAGCTGCTTCCCGGGTTCACCAGAGTCGTCCCAAGCAACTCCGGCGATTCCGCCGTAATGCTTCCAAGAAATCGATATTCCACAGAGACCTCTTTCTGACAGATAGCCGGTGTGTTATCGTCATAGTAGACTTTCACGCTGACTTAAGAAACAGACACCGAAGAGAGCGAACGATGCCTAATATATGCAATGTACGCGTTCGAAATTGTAACGCACATTACAAAGCCTATACAAACAATACAGGATACAGTCCAATTGTTATCGCGTATCGCTAATATGATTTACAAGCTGAGACAGCCCAGTTGAAAATTTCCGTAATTTTTTTTTTCTAAACTAAATAGTTTAGATGTTTCACTGCGTTAGCCGTTCCCGTACATTCGACGACGCTTTTTCGATCGGGAACGACTGCCGGTGAGTGCGACTAGCACATGATAATAAATAGCACACGCATTAGGTCATCCCTAACTCAAATTAACCCTACCTTTGGCGCGTTACTGATCTTCCAGCTTTGGCCGGCACCCCAACACCACGGACCCCGTCACCGGCTCGTTAGTTCGATAGGCCTATCGAGAGCCGAGGTTAGCATCCTCAGAGCGGTCCACGTCCACGCACACACTCGCCCAGTCAAGCGCACGAACGTTAAATACGCACACGAACACGGGAACGACAACAGCACATGACACACGGCAAGAACGAACGACCGGTTCAGATTATAATGCAATTAAATGCAAAGGTGCAAGCGAGCTGGACAAGAATAACGAAAATAATTCCTGGAGAGGGAGACCAAGAAACAAAGGACAAACACAAATCTCCAAACACAACTAGGTGGTGACTGGTGAGCGACCGAAAAAATCTGCCTGGTCCAGGTATCAAATCAAATCAAATCAAATCAAATCAAAGCTTTATTTTCCAGAAACACTGGAAGGAGTCCCAGACAAAAAGCTGTTGAGACAGCTTGACTGGGTCTGGGACCCTTATTACATGGCAACAGCTTGGTAGTGCACAACACTCTCCTAGCGTAACATTTGAGAAAACAAAAAAATATAAAAAAAATCGGAACTTTGTAAACATTATAACACTAAATTAGGGAACAACGAAGATATAAGAGCGCAAGTCTGGTTTGCTAATCGTGTATATGTTTATGTTGTTTGTGAGGCATTTATTTAAAACAAGTGGTAGGTTGTAATGTAAAGTTTGAAAGTTGTAGTTCGTGCGGGAACAAGGGAGGACCCATGCTTCTCTGCGGCGTATGTTGACATCACTGCTATGCCTTACAAGCCGGGACCTCTCCATTACAGGTGGAGCGCTCTACCAACTGAGCAAACCAGGCGTTACACGTCACTAGAGCAAACGGGTTTTATCAGCTGCCGTCTAACACCAACAAGGGTGAAGCTTGCAATTTAAGGTTATAATTATAATGCAATTAAATGCAAAAGTGCAAGCGAATTGACAAGAATGACGAAAATAATCCCTGGAGAAGGGGAACAAGAGGGACAAAGCGACAAACAAAAATCTCCATCAGATCCCAGAAATGAGCGTCTCGCTCACTCCGACTGGCCCAGACGACTCGACAACCAGATTCCCGAATGCGACTTTCGCGCGAGGGCTTCTGGGATAGCCTTTGTCGGCGCCGTCGCCGTCCACGTTGAACGTAGGGGATGTCCAATTCCGTTGCAAGCTCCGCTGTCGCGAGTCGAGCTGCTCAGCGCTGCGCCGCGTTCAACTTGACGTTGGAGTATAGACACCCCGTTCACACACAGCGTCAGCGAACGGGAACGAGCGCGTGCGCTCGTTGACATTACGACGGAGTATAAACAGCCCTTAAGTGCTGCCAACAGATAACGTGCGCCGCGTCGAGGGACGGCCGGGCGATTCGGGTTAATAGCAAACGATACCGCAAAAAGAACCAGAATCAGCCGGCGCTCCCTCGACGCTGCGTAAGCCATCTGCCGGCAACACTTATTCCTACGCCAGCATCGTTTCTAAGTTGCAGCCTAGATCGCCCAGAATAAGTTTCTGTCTTGTTTATTTTTTCCTTGAACGAGGTAAGTTTATTTCTTGTAAGCATCGCCCACCTGCTTGCACCTCTGTAGTACACTGCAGCGAAACACGTTGAGAAACTGCTCCGTTTAGAACGATATGTTGATAACGCAACCAAAGGAACGTATTTTCAACGTGTTTACGCGCGTTTCAGCGGGCATAATCACGGCATTTGGCGGGTGCTTTTTTTACAGAATGGAAAAGGGGAAGGTAGGCCAACCACACACGGCGTTTTTTGTCCACGTCACTTTGGCGTTTGGCGCTGTGTGGCACGACTCGCGCTTTTCATGAAACGATGCAAAATGTAGCTGCTATAGACCGTTTTATCGTGGGTAGCGCCGTTTTGAATACTGTGGCACCATTTAGCGAGCGTCAGGTTCCGCAGCAACGCTGAGTGGTTAGAAAATTCGGCAAAAGTACTCTTCGTGGCGCCGCTCCCGCGTTGAGTCTTCTGTTGGGTGCTCCAAAGCTGAGTATTAGACCTAGGGCACGTCTTGCGTTTTCTGTGCTGCGAATGGTGTTTTTAAACTCATTAGGAAAGTTTCTTGCCCCGCATTATGACATCCGCCAGTGTGGCGATACTGAGAAGAGCGACACTGAACGTGCACCAATAGAAATTGAAGGCGATTACTAAAAATATTGTACGAGTTTACAGCGATTGAATTTCCCTTTGGGTTTTTTGTAGTTTTAAATGCGATACACCGGGATTATATTTGGCGTTTTGTGACGTCCACAACAATTAAATATAGTCTGAACAAGGATGCGCGAAATAAGAGCATTGCAGGGAACGAAGGCAGCTCGCTCTAGCTTGCAGTTGTTTATAGATGTTTTAACTGAGGATCCCTGTCGACAAGCGTGTCCTTTGTTTAGAACTGGAAAAAGCGAAGCCGAGATGGGCCCCCTGCCAAAGCGAGTCCATCAATGATTCAACCATTCAAAATCGATGCATCAGCATGTTTCAGCTACACAAATTAAAGTTTTCTTTCCAGTTTTCTTATGTACAAATCTGCAAAATAAAAATAACCCAACCGCGTTGTGACGGTCAACTAAGTTCACGGCTCTCTGCTGTCGTGCAGGAGATCGCGATACAAAAAAAACCCGCTAGAACTAACTTTTCGACAATTTCGAGTCATACCCTGTGTCGGAAATGAGCCTTTAACTAAGCGTCGTAGATGCTAAAATCAAATCAATGTTACCACTGCAAGATATCAGCGTTAAGATAAGTTAAGTAACGAAAATTTACAAGCAAAAAAAGCGATTGAACGGCTAGCATTTCAAAGGTTATGATGATAACGGAATTTATTGCATTATTATCATAACCGTAAAAATGCACGCCGTTCAGCTTTCTTGGTGTTAGATTGGTGGCAGCTGATAAAACCCCTTTGCTCTTCTGTCGTCTAACTCCAGGTTAGCTCAGTTCATAGAGCGCTCCACTGTATCGATAGGTCCCTGGTTCGACAACAGGGTCAGTCGGATGTTTCCAGTCGCGTACCAGTCACTTAGCTGTGTTTGGAGATTTGTGCTTGTCCCTTGTCCCCCTTTTCGAAGGCTTATTTTCGGCATTCCTGTCCAGCTCGCTTGCACCATTGCATTTGACTGCATTATCATGATGAAAGTGATTTTTCCAGTAACATGCTACTATCGTGGAAGGAACATCTCCAACGGCGAAACATTAAATCTAGAAGACCCTTGCGAAGGATGGACGTGCCACGCTCCGGAGAAAAAAGTTACAGTAATGGGGTAAGTGCATAAACTAGTGGATACTTCAGCTTGGGAGTTGGTTGTTCATGCTTATACTTAACAGCGCACAAGAACAGACACACCTCAAAGATTCACTCACACAAAGGAATAACACTCGCACTGCGCTGACTCTTAACTCTTGTTTGCATTGTGCTTTACCTTCATTTTCTTTTACACTTATATATTATGGACTAATTTAAGCTATGGCTGATATAACTAGGTAAGGTCTCCTAAATGATCCAACTCTTTTTTTTTTTTATAAAGCTACCGAGGGGTGCTAACATATAAGCTATCTAGCGTGATGTTGCTCGCGGTTTCTATGATTTCTAGCGTAAGTCTGTTATTGCTCCTCCCCAGTACGGTGCATGCAGTTGACACCTTTGGTGTCAACGCCTTTCAAAACGCTACTGGTCTGGCTATCAAGGGTTTTCTGGACTTAATAACTGTCTACTTGACACATAGAGATAATATATATACATACTAACTCTAGAGGAAAAGGTCCGCCATTTTCCCATACATTCTGGCTGCCGCAAGCGGCGGATCATGCAGGCAGACCCTCGGGGTCCCAAACACGGCTACATCATCAGAGCAGTTTCGTGAACTTCAACAATCCACGAACTTACCGGTGGAAAGATATTCGCGTTCCTTTCGAAGCTTTCTTTTTGCATAGCGCGCAGATGTACGGCCTCCCGTCAACACTAAACTAAACCATATACCCGGCTTCGCCGGTGGGGCGCGGGTGGGCGCGGTTGAGGAATACAAAACTGCGCAACCACCAGATTTCCGAGATTTCGACAGAAGGGAAGTCAATGCAGCTTAATGACTTTATTGCTTTTTATAAGCGTTAGAATAGCTCAGAATTTAGTTTACAACGTTAAATTATCACTGTTTATATTGCTGAGAGTTTTCACTCTTTGCGTTTACCATGGCAACGTTGCTTTCTTTCTCTCGTGTTCTGTCGCTCTCTTTTGCGATCGTTCACTCGGGACCCCGGGTGTCAGCGCACGGGATTTGCCACTACTCCTCACCCACCTTTACCTCCCTGACTTGACATCTACCTCTGCCATCTGGGACAACATAACATACTTGCAAAAAAACTGGAGTATGCATAGGGGTCTTGTATTGCTCCTGTCCTTAGTGACCTTTTTCTTGCCTTCCGTGACAGAACCTTGCTGCAGAACCTGGACCACTCAAAAATACTGCGTGTGCTTCGCTACGCTGATGATTACTTGGTGTTCCTGGACACTGACGATAACACCTTCACCACCTTGGTGGCCAGTGTTCTTTCCACTTTCAAAAACTGCCTGGATTCGTCAAAACTCACTCACGAACTCCCTGTTGAGCGATCCATAAAATTATTAGACCTTCGATTGTTCATGACAAACCATCACGTCCGCTGATATTACGAACCTAGGGCAAAAAACCACTCCTTAACTATAGCTCAGCAAACTCAAAGCTTTTTTTTTTTGTTCTTTTTTTGAAGGGGCATTGCAAATTGTTGTCTAAAAAGCTTTCTTATGAAGTCATGCACGCACAGAGTACACACGAGCTTCGAAATGCAAATCTCTCAGTTGGTCTCAGCAGGGTACCCTGTCTTTATTAACAGCAGTTGCTTAATGCCTATTCAGGGAAGTCAATTATGTAGGAGCTATGACACGCAGTCCAAGAGACTGCACTACTAGACCTGTTATTGTGCCGTATCCTCACAACTTTTCCCACGAGCTGAAGGAAACAGCCGATCGAGTCAATATTGGCATCATCTTTTCCACTCGATCCGCATAAACTTTACAGCTTATGTAAAAAGGTAAACGGGCCTTCTATACGACCAGCGTGCTGCACCAAGAACCACCAAACTAAGTGTGAGGGAGTGATTTATTCCTTTCCCCTTTCCTGTAAAAAGCGCTACATCGGACAAACAGGAAGATGTCTCAACGACCGACTTCGGGAAAACAATAAAAATGCTATCAAGGCCGACTAAGTTCATTTATTCCTGTGCCACACGGACATGGCAAATGCCATTCAGGGCGAATCTCATTCGGGAGCCGAATGACATTACATTTCAAGCCCGTGCGACACGTACATTTCTAATGTCATTTTACGCCATGATGATGATAGCGCCTGCTCTCTAAAGAAAACTAATTGTAAAGTTTTTGTAAGCTAAATACGTTTGTGCAAGGTTATGATCACTAAAAATTGTCTATAGGTAGTTTTAAGCAAATTTTGCAGTAAATTACTTTACGTTTTTTGCGTTTCCGCTGTAATTCGTATGTTGGTGACGCTCTAGTTGCTCTAGCCGCAATAAGCCAAAGACTGAAGCTGACTAAAGCGAAAGGAAATGGCGCCTGTACATTCGCGAGTGTCGGTCCTTGTACCGGAGGACGGTAAACGGGTGCCACGGTTAATCAGTGCCCTCACTTATTTACGTGTCAAGCACCGTGCCGAGCAGCAAAGGCTCGAAGTAGAAGCTGAGGACGCTCACACTCGCGTTTGTGAAATCGAAGAGCAGCGCTGCTCTCGAACTCCGTGGCTCTGGCTGCTGCTTTCGCTGCGTAACGCCCAGTGCACCGATCGCGGCTGCTTGCGGCGCTTGCGGCTCCATCGGAAGAAATTCGGAAGTTCGAACAAAACGTAACAAAACCGAGAAGAAACGCGAAAAAGATGGCGACGCAGGCGAAGTGGCTGTGTCTACTGGGTTAAAGAGCAGCCACTTGCAATTATGTGACAACCCGCGCTTCAAGTCTAGTATAAAAGAATGCATACATAAAAGCAAACACAAATAAATAACTTTTAATTCAGGTATACTTTGATTAACGTAATCACATTGGAGTTTTTTTACTTGGGGCCTGGGGTAGAGGCTACAAATTTGGCCCGTGACCGAATGAGTTCTGCCGAACCCCTTCAGTGGCAAATGACATTTGCAGCGAATTCCATTCGTGCAGGCCGTGTAGCACCAGCCGAATGACATTTGGGGCGAATGTCATTCGTTGTAAATGGCATTCGAGTTGACCGTGTGGCACGGGTCTAAGACATTCATTGCCGAGATTGCGGTTCCACTCCTGGCCAACTGCGCCGTACTAGGCAGAAGCAATAACAAACTTACACAAGAAATCATAGAAACCACGAGCACTGTCACGCTAGATAGTTCGTGTTAGCACCCCTTCGATAGCTTTATCAAAAAAAGAAATAAAGAAGACTAGTTAGGAAACGTTACCTTGATATATCTGCCATAGCTTAAATTAGTTATTTATATATAAGAGTAAAAGAAGATGAAGATGAAGGACAATACAAACTAGAGTTGAGAATCAGCGCAGTGTGAGTGTTCTTTGTGTAAGTGAACTTTTGAGGCGTGTCTGTTCTTGTGGACTGCGAAGTGTATGCACGAACAAACATAGCTTACAACATTTGAGCAATAGAGCGATTTACTGTGTGGTATAAGAATTTAAAATGTTTGGTAATTTTATCAAATTATTTATAAAGGTACAGTGCTAAAACAACTTAACGCCTATACTTAGCCGTCATTTTACATGACACTATTGCTTTCAATTAATTCATTTAATTGCTCATTGCCGAAAATGAATAGTAAGAAAGAGACACTACCCTTGTAAACAGTTCAAACACTTTCGGGAATGTCTGTTTCGAAACGGAAACATTCGATCGCATATAAGTAGGATTAGCGAAATAATGCACACGGTGTTTTATTTTATTCGAATAGACTTATAAAAAAAAAAGGGGGGGGGGGGGTTGCAATACATGAGTAATGTTTTCACTGCTTGTGTATCTGGCTTGGTGGTCAATAAAGGGGAGGATCATCCTCACGATCAGCAGAACCACTAACATTCGTTAATTACCTTTTTAGTCTATGGTTTTATGGGTCACGTTGCAATCGCAATGTTGACCGCAGTTAGGATTAGAGCAAAGTGTGAAGCGATAACTTTATTCTGCCCCGCAATGAAGGAAAAAGAAAACCATAACGCCATAGACACAAAACAGAGGGGAAACAAATGCACTATACTCCGTTTAACGATAACTTGGCGAACTGTGGAAACTGCGGCTGCCGTAAAAAAATAAGAGCGTCGGAGCGAGGTATGTGACATGAAGTCACGGGAACATGTGTGCCAGTGCACCGAGGAACCGGCTGTTGTTTGTTGGCCAAGAGTCGTCTGCTGCGAAACCAACCAACTTCGGATGAACGTCCACCGTCGCAACATTGCCGTCCGCTAGAGTAGCGAACTCTTCGGGAACAGTTCATGAGACGACCCGCTAATTTGTCGCGGATGCTAATAGGGGCAACGGCGCTACAAGGAGACAAATATTGGGACCGGATACGGATGTGGCGTAACTTTTTTAGTTTAAATATATTTGAAACTCATAAATTCTTCAATATTTAGTCGTGAATTTTTCATATTCGGGAGTGAATAAGACTGCATTCAAACTGTAACGTCTGAAGCGTACGAATCCTGGGTATGCCCTACTGCAAGGTCCACGAAGAGAGACAGTCGGGAGTGACAGCGAATGTTAGGTCCCCTACCCCTCCATTGCCGGAGGACCGTGACACAGTGGGAGTGGCAGCCGAAATTGCTGAGATGAGCAAGAAGTTATCGAGTGTTTTGAACAAGGTCACGAAACGAGAAACGATATTGGTAAAAGTACAAATAACTACTTAAAAAAAACTGATAACCAGGAAAATACGATTAATGAGCTAGCCGCGAAAACAACTGGCCTGGAAGCCAATGTTGCGGACTAAGCGTGTGAGATCACAAACTTAAAGGCAGCATTAACAAAAATGAGCAGTGCTCTAGGCGCAAGAACATTGAAATTCCCGGCGTGAGACAGTCGGAGGACGGGAATGTTCTGAACTTAATAAAGAACCTCTCAGAAAGATTTGAACTGCCGACAATATCGGAGCATTCTGTAGAGGCAGCTCACAGACTAAGGACGAGAGAAGGACGAGTAGCTCCGATATTCTAGTACAACATAGCTCCAATATTAGTCAGGTTCAC